GGAAAAGCATCCGCCAGAGAAAGTTTCTTCTTCTTCGCTATATCCTGAGAAGATGGTGAACACGACAGTTGCATCTGGAAGCATTTCCACGTGTAAATCTCAACTATATCGATACCTACTCATGGAATGGGCGCACTTCTGGATAAGCGAAGTTGTAAATTTTGCAAGATAGAGAAGCATTTCTCAAAAAGACATTGAGTACGGTGCAGAGATTCCAAAGCGGACTTTATACTTCTACCCAAACTCAAGTGATATGTGATCCTTCATTAAACTTTGAGAACATCCATTCAATATCTACCAGAAGATATTTCACTACTTACATACATATGTGTGTTATATACGTATGTATATGACAAAGTCTCATAATCTCTCTCCATTTGCACAGACATGCAACATTGTACTACCATTGTGCACGATGATATTTTCACTCCCAAATCACAAGTCCTTTCTTACCTCAACATATCATGCAAAATTTATACAACTACCACATTGAAATCTGGGAAATCTGTGAAGATTTTACAGCGACAAAACATCAATCAATTCATTGCAGAAACACCGACACTGAATATCGATTTTCTCCCCTCAAAGCACACAAATGAAAGCTGTTAACCGAATGAAAGATCATTTGCACAAGGGCGAAAAGAGCGAAGGAAATGCAGAGAATCTCAAACACCACACTTTTAAACCCGAGATCCAATGAAAATGTGCAATAATAAATATTGAACATATCACGAATCCTTTCCAATTTTATATTGATTATATAATCCTAAATTAAATAACAAAAACAAGAAACCCTCCTTAAAGTCAATTATCTAACTTTTGTCCGCAATCTTCCTCTGATTCTCTTACCTTTATATAATCTAAAAAAACTTTCCTCTTCCTAATGGTTTTACTTCTGGCAACATATTGCAGAAGATGTTGTTCAAGAGGAGAAACACCCAAAAGTCTCATGAATAAATTGACTTTATATGATGAAAATATGTCATTAATGTATTCCACAAGAGTCGCAAGAAAATGCAGAATTTGAGTAACTCTGTGTCATTTAATCTATCTCACGAAACACACTCTAACTACCCTTAATGCACTCTCTCAAAGTGGAAAAGAATATTTGACATGCAGACGGAGAAGATAAGATTACAGGTGAAAATTTGCACTGAATCACACTCAAAGTGTATCTGCAAAAGCAGAGAGAGACAGAGAGAAAGAGATGCAACAAATTAGAATACCAACGCGAATTCACGAATTGATTTAAATTTCATCCAATTTCTCAGAGGTGAATTGCTCCGAGTGAATCCCAAAAAGGATCAAATGTTGAGCTTCATGGATGAAAATCTGACGCTTATATAGCACTTCTTGAGTATAGAGAAAATGGTGAAAAACGTACATGTGAATAATGCAAAGGAAAAAAGGAGGGTGGAAACTTTTCAGCCACTTTTTCCACTTGAATGAACAATTTTAATTCAAAATCTATTTCCGTCCTCGCGCTCTCCGGAATGAAGAGCGCAAGACGGCACACTTTGGAAAAATCTCACAAAATTTCATGTGCATTAAATTCAATTGCTCATTCACGTGAAAGAGAAACATTGAGTGAAAACTTTTCAATTGTGCATCATTTGCACTCAACTATTCTTCAATTTAGTATGGAAATTATCTAATATTTCCTCTCATTCTCCCTCTCTCCTCCTCCTTCTCACGAACAGCAAATTTATTGTCAACAAATTTTGGGATCTTCTTTCTTGGTCTGGAAAAAAAACACGTCTTTATCAAGAAAATTAAGGAATATTCTGAGCAAAAGTTTATCCACTGCAGAGAACAATTGAGCAAATGCGCAGCCAAAGCAAGAAGTGTTGCATGGTAATTTAGAGAACAGCAAAAATCTCCACCAAGTCTTGTGTGGAAATTGCATTGGGATGAGAAAATCTGTTGAGATTTTCCACTTCATCTCATGCAACCGCATATAAACCGAGAAAATTTACCGGTAGCTGCGATGCAAAATCCTCAGGTATTCGCCAGGATAAATGGCATTAGTTTGCAAATTCATTTGCATTGCAAATATTTATGTCATTTTCTCACACAACAATCTCACAACTTCTCTTTCTCTCCCTCTCTCATTTATGCACACCCTTTTCTTCACCCACATCAGCATCAGCCTCCGTTCAAGCATTGGCGCATGAGAGGCAAAAGAAAACACAGCTCAACTTTTAAGATTTCTCCCCTCTCTCTCTCTCCACTATCCACCTTGCCATTCTTGTGAAAACACACTCGAACCGGCAATATTGAGAGAAGTTTTTAATCAAGTGGATGCATTTTTCCCTCTTCGTCTCCACTTGAAACTGCCTTGAGAATTATTCCGAGAAAGGAAAGTCAGACGCCATAGAAACTCAAAAATTAATAGAATACTTTAGCTAAATTGGAAGATATACTCCATACGTATATGAAGCTCTCTAAGGTGAGTCTAACGTATGTGGAGTGAAATGTTATTAAATCCCAATGGAGAAATTGTTTTAAACTTGTGCCTCTGTCTCTCTATATGTATACACTTGTATTCCAAGCTCTAAAAGTAAGAAATTGGCACAAGAGTGAAGACAAGACCTCTTCTTCAGTACACTCATTATTGTAGACTTATTATAAGAAGACAGAAAACAGTTTGTTTGAAACACATTTTAAACATACTGAGAAACTGTAAGATATTCAATATGGACGGAAAACAAAATATTCAGAATGAATCTCAGAATTTTTGTGAAGCAAAATGTTGCACATAAAGTCAGGCTCTTTCCCCCCAACTTATTCAGAGGACACAAAAACATATTAAGTAAGCAAATTATCATTGGATTCAAAGAAAACTTACCGATAGAAACGCCCCTTCTTCGGTGACGTGTGTCATTACATATCTAGCGAGGAGGATTTTGGTAAACGGACACACCGACACTTGATTGTGTGTGATCAACACGTCGCTTTTCACGGTGGGCGGCGGGTGGATGGTCGTGGGGCCCATCGAGACGACAGGGGACGATCGCCACCGCGAGAGTCACGTTTGACAACCCTGCACACAGACAAACAAGCTCTATTTGCATTCTTTTCATCTTTCTTCTTCCTCTCTTTCTCTCTCATCTCCTGTGTGGACTTTTCTTCTTTCTCTACGACTTTATTTAAGTTTCTTCTTCTTCTTGTTTTTACATCGAGAAAATTCTTTATGCATTTCCAACACGACCACGAGCAAAAAAAAGTGTTTTGAAAAGACAAATAAATTCGGCAAAGAACAAATACTTTATACAACCGAGAGAAAGAAGAGAAATTATATATACACAAGGATTTTCTTTTTTTTTGGTCTTTCTCTTTACTCTTTCTTTGTCTTTTTTTTTAATCTTCAATGCCAAAATAAACACAAAATATGTACTCAGTGAAAATCAAAAGAATAACAAAATGTTTCAAAATTGTGTTTTCTCAACAATATGTTAAAACTTATATTATTGGAATTTCTTTGCTTGCTTCACAAAATAACACAATTTTTTCTTCTTCTTCTTCTTGTTTTCAATGAACATGAAAAAACGAGACAATTAAATGTGGAAAAAACATGCGTCTTTGCTTTTTCCCGAAGGGATTGTATTTCTATTATTTTCTAAAAATTTCATTTCAGTTTTTGTGCAATTCTCAAACTTTATACAAAAACCACTGTCGAGTCGAGAAGTTTCCCAATTAAAACTCTGAAACCAGTGACACTAATTTAAAACATATTAGCTACTTTTTATCCGCAAATAAAATGTTGTATTAAAAATGCTTTTTGTTGCCTTAATTTTGCAATCCGCCTAAAATGTATTATCTCAGCCAGGGAAAAGTGACTTTTAGTCCATCCCTCGGGGCGCGATGGAGTGTGAGAAAATTACATTTCCTCCATAATTACTTTAATTGCCGCATTTTCCTCGTACTTTCCAAAATGTCTATTTAAATGTCCACCCATAGTGTAAAGTGGCAGAGATAAAAGTTTAACGTGAGATAAATTCTAAATTGTCGTGCTGAGCGGGAAAAAAAATGTATCGATTCAAAGTCTCTTTGCAGTGAATTTAGGCATTTTTCTTCTCTCTTCAAAAATCAGTCACCCTTCAGGAAAACAAGACACCGTTTAAATGTACAGTATATCTGTGAGTTTCTGCTTGAGAGTTTGGTAACAGAAGAATATTTATGGATATTAAAGTAAGAACATGTCTTTGAACAAATTAGATAAAAAACAAATCAAAAAAGCAAAAAGAGTTTATCAATGTTGAAATCTAACAAGAGATTTCCATCACCAAAATCTCCAACTCTGGGAGTCTACAATTATATTTATATATATATTTTATACAAATATATATTTTTTCTAAGAAATCTGTCTGATTTGCATGCAATGAAAAGAGATAATTTGTTGTTTGTCTGTGTGCTGCAGGTATAGAAGTTGGCGTTTCGTATCGTTTGCGATGTATTTTATTTTATATATCATATCAATAATATATTTTTTAAATATCTATATCTTTAGTTATTTTTTTACCTTCGACGAATTAACTTATGAAAAACTATTGAAATCATGAGCAATGGAAAATATAATAGACAAAAACCTCTTGAGCAAGCTTTCATTCTTCTGTTTTCCTCTTCATTTCATGCCAGAAGACAAGGAAAGCGTGCTCAAAACAAAAACCTCTTCACGCAGTAAATTAAAAAGGAATGAAAAGAAGAAAAATAATAAGATTGGTAAAAAAAATCCTCATTTGGACAATGTGTGGAAATAAAAGTAAAATTAACTGAGAATTTCACTTGTTTCTCGCCTGAGTAAACGAAAATATTGACAAAAATAGACTTTTGAAATAAATTCATCACCTTAATCGTCATCGTTAAAGAACAAACAAATAAAGATGACAATAAAATTACACCACTTTCCTCCTTTTCTCTTCCTTTCAAATTTAGTACATGAGGTCACAGTGAAAATGTAGATAACATTATACTTCTTATTTTCTCTCTCTCTTTCTTACCAGTTAATGTGAAATCCCAGCTCGTGTCGCTGTCATTTTTATACACATTCAACTTCTCGGGCTGCAAAGACATGGACAGAAAAAAAGACAAAGAGAATTAGACTAAATATTTGGCTTTTTCACGGGACGGGGGAGAGTAAGAGAGATTTTATTTATTGATCCAACACTGCATGGCGCACACATTTTCAACAAAATGGCAACATTCACACACAGTCACACACGTGAAGAAGATAGACAAAAGACCCCACATCTCATATCCCGCCCAGAGTTGCTCAAGGTACCGTTCAATGTCGTGAGAAAGCGCGCACATCATTCTCCATGCGACGATTGTATCATCTTTCAACCCCTATCTGACACCCCATCAACTCTGTGCGCCATCCATTTGGTGTTTCCATGCTGAAAAACACGCACGCAATTGAGCAATGTAATCGTCTCACTTTGTTTCAAGTGTCCTCCTACACATCCCCCCCCCCCCGTACCCAAGAAGACCAAGCAGCGCCATGGCATAAATTATGTTGGGGAGGTGGATGAGGCAAGACATGCTTTACATGCTTTGGATAGTTGAATTTGGTACAAATAAGACCAAATATTCACTCTGAAATTCGCCTCAGAAGTGAGATTATTTGAACAAGAATCAAATCAATTTCAGCAACATTTCTGGTGAGAATTTTGAATTAGCACACAGATTAGTTCTGGCTGATCTTGTGGCTGATTAATAGTTTATAAATAGGGTGGAAATACACAATATTCACCCATCACAGTCTTCGCAGACGAATCTATCATTCTGTGCCATAGTGAATAAGCTAACCAAAGTCATCAAAATCGATTGGAAATGTTGGTGTTTTTAACTCCTACACTTCATGTGACAACATTTGGAAAAGTCATCAATGCATAATTGATTGTAATTCATTAAATATTCACATGAACCTCTCCAATGTATCTAATTCAATCACCACACAAAGCCTCACCAAAAACCAAAGAGCTGAATCATGTTGAGGCTCTTTCTCTCCCTCTCTTTCTCATGAAGCTAATTGAATTATTGACCAAATCTCCTCCCTGATTTTTCTCCGCACGTGAAAGCCCAAAACCCATCACAAACTGTGCGGTGGTGGTGCATCGTGAAGTTGGGAGGCAAAACAGATATTTCTATTTGCAAGCCGGAATGTTTATCTAAAGCCATGGAATGGTTATAAATCAAATATTTAGCCAAAAAGCACCGTCTGCAGAAGGCAATACGGGGCAAATACACACAACCGCATATATAGAAAAAGATCACGAATGAGAAGTGCTTTCAAACTCTCCGTTTCAGAGCAATTTTCGAGGAGCCAGAGAAAAAAGCTATGATAACAACAAGACCACCCTCGGTTATTTCATCATTCCATAATGAGGCATTTTACATTTATTGCCTTGTCGCACATTTTATTCCCGCACTTCGACACTGGAATGGCATATCACACTCTGTGTCTTCATGTTTATTGCTCAACACTGTGGAGCGCAATTTATTATCATGGCAGCGCAACTGGACAATCTTCTTCTTCTCTTTCAATAGAGAGAGAGAGAGAGAGAGAGAGAGAGATTTTCTCAAGTACCACAGCTCGCGATGACAAGTGGAGAAACCACACATTTCCACCCCAAGATAGTCTTCGATGAAAAATTTCCACGAGGGAACAGAGAAAAAAGTGCAACCAATGTTTTCCCACCCACTCAGTGTTGAACTGAAAAATATATAGCACGCCAATTGTAAGGGAGGTTTTCATATACTTCTCTTTCTTTTCATGAGCTCTTTTTTTTATCAATCGCAATGCAAAGAAAGAAATAAGAAATATATTGGCATGGAAAGAGGGAACAAAAAAACGACTCTATATTGAGGGATTTCTCATTGACTTTTCCTGCATATTGAACTTCATTCACGATCCGCTCAAATTGACCTTCTCAAGAGTGTTTGTACATGAAGAGAGAGAGAGAGAGAGAAGAAAAAAGAAGATAGTAGAGAAAATTGCTCCCAAGTAAAAATCTAATAAATTACTATAATTTCGTATCCCTTGCAATGAAGACGTATATCTGGGGCTGAAACACAATTTCTCACTTTCTTTCCTCGCGCGCCACTTTGCCAAAAGAATGAGAGTGTATAAATTTTCACAACCCCCAAAATCCAAATCCACCCCAAAAAATACTTGCATTCTTTTCTTCCCACACACACACACACAGGCTGAATTATATTACAATATTTATGTGTGCAACACGACTCCAAAAATTCATCTCCTAATGGTGAAATTTATATACATTTAGCATCACTTTTCCTTTGCCAAATCGATTCAACACCGCGTGATACTCAGCTTGAACAAACGCTCCACTCACTTCTCTTGCTCAAAGACTATGTCATCATAATTCAACTTGCAAAATTTATCTCTGCTATCCCAGCTTTTGCAAAGTGCAACAAGCACGCAACTTTTGTCACATGGTGCACGAGCTTTTCAGCCCCCTTCATCACAGCGCGAACACCTCTATGGAAAATTGCAATATTTTCCCTCACTCAACACGTTATACAGGAGCGGCAGCTGTTATGCACATAGTTTATAAAATCATTATAACTCTTACATTGCAATTATACAGGAAGTTCAACGGGAAAAACCCAGCATTGCGTGGTTGGAAAATCAATAATCAACATTGTTAAAATGTTTCATATATTTTCTCTTTTTTTTTTTAGTACAAAATACCTCATAAGAGACACATCTCTCCTATCATTCCACCCATTTTCTATGTTGAGCCATATTTTATCGTCACATTTAATTGCATTTTCATCACCACGACATGGAGGGCAGAACTCATGGGTTTAATTAGGGAAAAAAGCTCGTTAGTGGTTTCAATTTTGTCACGGAGCTCGGTTAATTATTGTCGACTAAAATCACAGTGTTGGCAGTGAAATTTTTTAAATAAATAAAACTTCATTCGAGACTCTGCTGTGCATTTTTCTGAATGCAGATTAAATCCCTTCATCTTGACTACCATCCATGAATGACTCTGTGTTGAAATATGTTGCAAAAAGCTCTCAGTAATTAATGAATTTAAAGTTATGACAGAGAGAATTTTATGGGAGAAAATACAGAAGGTGGAGGGAAAACAGAAACAGATGTTGAAACAAAATTCTCAAATTGTTGCAACTTTTCCGTTTCTCCAAAATTCGCGCCAATTTTATTAAGTCCGGCACATATTCACGCCAACATGTTAATTCTGTCTGTGTCATTTATATGTATAAAGAGGAGTATTTTCCGGGCTAACAGTGCAATTTTCACATCGAAAGAGAAGTAAAAGAAATATCCAAAGGGTCTTTTTCTCCCACACACACACACGAACAATACTTCATCGTCAATAAATTCCCTAATGAGTCTCCTTTCATACAACGAATTAATTAAAGGCACTAATGAGAATGGAACGAGTATTTAGTGAAAATCTCGAGAAAGAAAGTTCATACCTTTTCAACAATTTCCACACACACACACACACACCGTTTTGATCCTTCAGTGAGAAACTCAAGAACTTCTTTCTCTCTCTCTCTTCTCGCTTCTCAAGTGTGCAATTTCCTCACGAAAACTCATCACATACACTTTCCCATGCATAATTACTTTCAATGGGGAAAAGTACTTGAAGAAAAGCACTCAAATATTTCCAATTCAATCAAAATTCTAGATTTTATCGTGAAAATTAAGGGAAATATTCGTAATTTCTACTTCCGTTTTTCCAACCCACACACACGTACGACAAATTGCCATGAAACTATGCGTGTCATTTCAACCGACAAAAATTCCATCGATAAGGACAAAATGTTGAATTTTCCACCCTCACACATTTTTCACTAAATAAAAGATTTCCACACTACTTTGAATTTGTCAAAATCAATTCCACACACGAGTCAGAGAATCGGGGGGAAAAAATCTCCTCTTTAAGAAATTCCCTTTTTGCCTTTTATCTTATAATGATATTGACTCAATTCACTAGAGAGGAACAACCAGAAAAAAGGTCAAAATGCTCAACAACAATCATGGGATAGAAGTAAATTGAGAATCATTGTGGGCTACAAATTGTATTTGTGACAATCTCCTTTTCTTTTTTTTTGTCTTTGGAAGGAGAATCCGATAAGATTTCACCTTGCCATTGTCGAAATAAAGGTAAATTGAATTAAAATTGACACCAAACATGATGACAAGACCATTTGCAGGATCACGACGATATCTCAGAGTAATTTTTTACAACTTCTCTCTCTCTCTCGCTCCCTCTTTGCGAATGCCATAAAAGCTACCCGCCTTCCGTATTCAGAGCTCTTCTGTGTCCCGCTGCCGGAGACAATGCATAAATTTCACGAAGAGTCGATAAGAAGCACGTTTATACCACCCCTTAAATATAACACATTGTATAGGGTGAATCGTTGGCCCTATGCGGAGTTGGAGGATAAATAATTTCTTCCTGTTTCCCCTTCGATTCTCTTACATAATTCTTCACGGGACTGGAAAATTTTCATTCTGCAGATGCACAATGAGATTTTGGGATATTTATTATCATCACACTGAATGCTGATGTGGAGGAATTTTCAACGAAAGTGACCCTCAACAAAGGGAGAAAAGTGAAAAAGAAAATCAGACCCAAAAAAAATGAGAATTTCAATTGAGATAATCCCAGTCTTTGACCATTTCATATGCCTTCCAAAAAAGGTACACTCTGACCATGAATTTTACAGAGATTTTCCCCAAAAGGTAAACCACAGAGATTTTTCACGACGCACAGTGATTTGTTTACTAAATAGAAGCCATCAAAGATGAACAACACCCAGACAAAAAGCCACTGTGCACATTTAAATACATAAAACTAAGTGTGCTCATGTACAAGTTGACCTTTACCACCCCTTAAGCTCCCCGTAACTCAACTCTTCTTCACCGTCAGGTGTGTGAAATAGCCCACAATCAAAGTTATTTTCTCGGTTACCGGGTTACAAGTGAAACTGCATAAGAACTGTTGGAAGGAATTCTGAGAATGTTATTATAGATTAAATAGAATTTCTACACACACAAAATGAGAACTTTTTGTCATTCTATCATCAAAATACAAAAACAAATTTACTTCAGTGTCAAGAAAAAGCAATCTAAAACTTTCACTGTGTATTTTCTAAATTGTGTTTTCATCACACAGAAAACGTAATTATTCTAAAGTATAAATTCACGACATTGTAAGATTTTCATTAATTAAATCTATAAAAATACAGTAGCAAAATTGCAATTTTTTCTGTTTCAACCAAAAACGTCGATTAAAGATTCAGTGTTATGTGCGAGAAAATTAAGACACTCCAATTTATTTAAACGCATTTCAATTCGAGTGGTTTTTTCTATAATATTATAGACAGAATGACAAATTGCTTCATTAAATGATATTTAAGAAAAAGCATTTTCTCCTCCTCAAACACACTCACAATTCACAGAATACGAATAACAGACTTGTTTTTCGTTCCTTAACAAATGCTCAACCTGTTGTTTATTTTAATTACAACACAATATATTTATATATTGCATTGTTTATCCCATTCCCAAGAGCTTTTCATCCTTAATATGGTGTCGTGCGCTTTTGTCACATTGAAAATTAATTTATTCCCAAATTCATTAATACAAATATGACACAGTGTCGCTAATTAATGAAATTAAGTGAGAAAGAGCGTGATGGTTTTGCCAAGGGGGAGATAATGTAGTCAGAAGTGGTGTACAGATGAGTAGAAGTAGTGTAGGAAGTGGAGGTGTTTTTCTTTCAGCTTCTTTCGCAGATATAAAATTCAGATTCTTTGGACTTCTTTCAATTCTTACGATTCTCAATCTGAATCAGCAATTTCAAGATCATTGGTAAATGATAAGTGATAATTTTGTGATCTAAAAAGCTTCAAAATGGAGTTTTTGGCCAAATGGAAACTTGAGACATTTATTGTAACTTTTTAATTAGTGTGTAAAGAGTCTTAGGATTCAGTGCCGGAAGTGCACACAATTCGTGTACAGATTTAAGGCATATTGTTTTCCCCTTGGGTTTTTCAGTGAAAACTCTGAATTTGCCACACTATTTATGGAAAATGTATGACAATTTTCCACGAGTGGTCGAATTGAGTTCTGTTGGGCGTTCACGATGAGGAACTCACTCGAGGCACATTACATTTGATTATATTTGATGAATGAACTACATATCGTGCAGCGAAAAGACATGGAAATGTTATGTTTTATGTAATTGTCTGGTGAATAATTATGCATGGAACATATATAATATTGTAAGCGTCTCATTTGAGCCCGAAAGGAAGTGCATTAGCCTGGGTGTATGCATCCTCCCAACGGACAATTGGATTCAGCAGCAGTTTGAGAGCAGCTCATAACATTTTGGAGGATGCTTTCCTGTTCCACCAATTCAGTGCCTGGGATGAAATTTATTACAATCACAATGGAATTTACATAAATCTCTCCATTGTCACATAATCTATACAGTAACCTTCTTCCTCGCACACACACACAACATGCAAAATACCACCACGCAGAGACATTTCAAGAACTGCACACACAATTGTTAACATGTAACAGCCATCTCTACATAGTGCACTTTAACTTGTTAGACATGATAGCTTTTTTTTCGGCGGCGGGAAGTTTTAAGTTGTGACACAAACGACATTTTCCACCTGTTTTTCCACCTCCTACTGCGAATTCCCCACTTCTGCAAGGCAACAATGTGCAAGACGCGCACACAATACAATTAAATGAACATTTTCAACATTCTGCCGCCGCACAATTCCCAGTGCAAAGTGTGACTAAAGTTGCCAATTAATATTGCAAAACATTTCACTATTGAAAATGTCACCCAGTGCATACGAAGGACGAACATCTCAAGACATCCTTCAAACAAGAAATGCCATCACTTGGTGGAAATTCATTGTTTTCACATGTAAATTTTATAAATAAATATATATGAGAGACAACACAAACTTAGATATTTTTCACACTACGCCATAGTGAAAATGCAAATTTATACATACAACACTGTCGAAATTCCCTCTTGTGCGCGCACCCTTATCATCCACTGTGACGCCATGACAAATTGCAAAATTGGCAAATATTTACACAAGACTTCTGTTGGTGATTAACTAGATTGCCGGATAATTAATGTAATGATAAATATAGTCGATTTTCACACCCACATGAATCGCTCTATTCCCACCCTCATGCTGTGCATTCGCCAAAGGAAGGGCTTTCAGAAAGTGTGAAGGCGAAAGACAGCGTGAATGCCATGAATTATGGAAACATTTTAGCGTTGCAAAGGTTCAGAGATGGAATACCTTTTTGAAAAGGTATAAATTCAGAAGTAAGTGAACCACATTCACCCAGCTTATAAGATGTAAAATCTGCGAATGCTGTGCCTTTAATTGGAAATTGTGAATAAACTTTACAATTTGTGCTGCACCTCTTGAAGAAAGAACTAATGAAAATCTATCATTATTCTCGTGATAAGTATGATGCAAAATGTAGCAAAAACTGAAAGCTTCCTGTACAACTTATTGCATGTTAAGGAGTTTTTCTTTTTCAACCACGCAAAGTACTGAAATTGAGTGCATAATAGAATGTCAATTTCCAAGAAAATAGGAAATTATATTCCTGATATATCTACCATCCACAATCAGTCTTTCGGGTTAATTTTAACCCAGATATGCAATTTATTATGTTCCAATAATTTTCCACCCTCTCCACAATGCAAAAGTTGTGGTAGTAATAGAAAATCGGAAGAGCTTCGCCCATTGAAAGCACTTCCACGCCCACTCTTTGGCTGCCTTGTACGCATTTGGGTGCTCAAAGTAGAATTTATGGCAGAGCTTTGCACACAGAAACTCTTCTTTTCCCTAAAATATTTATATCATCCCCCACAGCCAAGGAGACTCACTCTCACTCTCTCTCTCTCTCTCATTCTCCACCCTCAAACAAACAGACACCTTTCCCTCTTCGTCTCTGACGCTGTCTTGTTAAATAAATTTGACACTCTGTTCTACGAGAGCTTCTCACCCGCCCTCCCTTTCGAGAGGGTGAGAGACAAGGGGAGTGTTGAGCAAGAGTGCAAAGAGGCAACACACATATTGGAGAGACACCAACCAACACTACATGAGACATTTTCGCAATTTCCACCCCCCCTTGACATTCGCGCGACAGAGAGTTGAAAAAGACGAAGTAATGAAAGTTGATGGTCCAGAGAGAAAAGAAATCACTACGATGGGGGGCGACAAAAGCGCGCGTCTCATCTGCACACGGGATGTGATTTTTAGAACACAATGCAAGTGACATCAATCCAACTGAATCAATCTTACTCAATTGGAAAAAAAGAAAACCATACAGACAAGTGCGATTTTCGCATGAACATCACACAATAAAAAAAAGGTGGGATTTTTCTCTTAATGTATCAAGTGCGTGAAAATACTCATCGTCTTGCCTGTAATATCAACTCAAGATTTGGGGGAGGAGTTAAATAAATCAATAGCATCTTACCTTTGCGTAATCAATCTTGAGTGTGCAGCATCCTGAATAGATGTCGGCTCCATTGAGATTATCACGGGCTCTTGTGGCAGATTCAATACTGTCAAATGTATTATTCCGGGCAATTTCCATCAACAAAGTGCCAGGACTTTAGTTAAGGATCAAAGTATTTGCTTCTTTTCCCCTTCCCCCCCCCGCAAAAAGTGACAAATTTACTGGAAAATTGGAGGAAATTTCTCACAACATCGCACATTAGAGTGAGTGATTACTTATGCATCAGTGGTGGCAAAATGAAAAATCATAGCCAAAAGCGAGAGCGAGAGAGAAAAAGGGAGCATTATATACACTCTTAATTAAAAATTAAGTGATGCTATATTTCACCATCTTCTGACAGAGAGAAAAAAAGTGAAATTGCACATAAGATTGAGAGTTCAATTCCAGTATCAAAATCATCTCACAGTCGCGTGATGAATTGTGATGGTGTGTAGAAAAAAAGAGTCTAACATTGCAAGTACAACTGCTTGGTAACCCACATTGAGTATTTTATGCTGTATAAAAGGCAGAGATTTGGTCATAAAACGCAATGTGCACGTCCAATAATTTCAATAATAAAACAATTAAATAATTTCTCACGTTCAACTTGAAGGCGCACACCATCGAGTGATTGAATTCAGCATTATTATATGTAAGTTAAGGAAGATATTTTCAAAGCTGTATGAGTCGAAAGTGGAACAAAATTGTCATAATATTAACTTTCATGATTCATACATTCGACAAAGGAGTCTCCCAAAAACACACTTTTGGACCCGAGCGCGCGAAAAAGCTCATCTTCAGCATACGAATTGACGTTTATATGATGTGGTAATTAAATCAAAATATTTGCCCATTTAACCAAAAGCACTCACTCATCATCGTCCTCAGCGGTTGAAAAGGCGCGCATTCTAATCACATCGACATGCGGGAATTCAGGCCACCCAAAGATGGTTCCGCAAGAGCCCAAAAACCCCACCATGAGACACATCATATCTCAATCACTTTCCCATGAAACACTCCATACATAAGCAATATATTTTCAGGGCGAAATAAACGACGATTGAAAGCTTTGGAGTTGCTCATCAAAATGAAATCAAAATCTCATAATCCCTTATCAACGGATTTATTTATTGCTCCACACTTTCATCCGTGTTTTCTTGGCAAAATATTACTGGAGAAGGTGGAAAAGGATTTTCACACCAATAACATGCTTTTTCGCCATATTTTTCACCACCCACAGCCAAATGTATCGTGTTTGTATGTGTCTACTTATGTTCCAATAGCGGAAGTAGTAGAGAAAGAGTGAGATTGCAAGAAAATCTAACCACGTTTCATGATAATTTTCCAACCACTGAAAGATTTTTCGTGTTGTTAGAGAGACTATAAGAAAACTTTCTTGTTGTATTTTTCACTGAAAGTCTGAACACATTCTCTGTTCTGAGAGCCCAAAAGGAATTTCAAGTCAAATTGACGCAGAAGTAAAAAAGCTTCACTTCAACGAGATTTTTTTTCTACATATTTCAAAGCTATGTTGACTGATCGTTGAGATCAACAAACATCAAAAAGACACCCTTATTTACTGCACAAATCGATAATATATTATTACTTTATCTGTCAATGCAATTAATCACGTTCTATAAACTCCCATGAGATTTCACTGAATGCCTATCACATTTCTGGGTCAATTCTTATCGCGCAGAGACAATCATTTGCTCTGTTGTTTGCTCTCTCTCTGTCACACTGTGAGGAATTATGGCTATTAGAGAATTTGTGCAGCAATTATCAAATATAGGCTCTGTCAATTGAAAGCCCACGGAAAAAAGCCATTCGCATTCAATCACAATCGGTGCCTAATCAAGTAATACTCGGTGTCATGTAGAATCACCCAATGGAAATTAAGTTATTACGTGCCAACCAATAAATCAATAAAAAGACGGTGGACAAAAAATTGCGGCCCCATCGGAGACATCAATCGATATGGAGTGTGAGGAAATTTATGACTCTCTCTCACTCGCCTCGTGCTAATATGCCCCGTGATAGAGCATATATACTGTTGGTCAGGCGAAAAAATATTTGAGAACCCAACAGAGTATCGATAAATACACACATGATCTGTCACAGCAGAAAAAAAAACACCCAACAAATATCGCGCGCAGACATTTTGAAGAAGCGACTGCGAAATTTAATGATTATTGAGTTTGCCAGGGTGATTTTTCTTCCGCTTCCTGGCGCTTCCACCACACACATCCGGATGTGTCACTTAAATACCCGTGAAGCTATTTCCGCTGTCGTGACGAAGAAAATAAAAGCCACAACCTTCCTGAGTCCGCCACAGGAACATTTGTTCAACTCAATCCCAACCGCTTTTCCCATTGAATAATCCATTAATAATGCTCCTGACTCTGCATTTTACATCCCCCTCGCGCTCTCTCTCTATATACACCCCCTACGGGGTTTTCCTTTGCTCCCTCTGTGCAGCATGCGCTCAGTGACATCGTCTGCGGAGAGTCAAAAACATGTGACAATGCAGTTGGGAAATGCGTCTTTTTATGTCACACACACACACACACACAATGTGAAATTCAATTAATTTCAACCCCCATAAACCCTCTCTCCATATATGCACAAGGTGTGTGTTTGATAAAAAAAAGAGCTTTTTCATTATGAAAAATTCTCACTAACTCTAGGCACATTAGCATCCGCGAAACTGTTATCTTATCACTGAGTTTGAGATATCATTTTTCAATTTGCACCAAATATTTCAGGTGGAAAATCGCCCTAAAACGCCTCACATTTCGTCTTCCTTTTCCCGCCATTTCTCCCAGCATTACATTGAATCTTATCTAGATGACTACTTGAGACTCTGCAGGAAAGCATGCTGATAAGGGGATATTTACTGGTTCATCGTGAAACGAAACACCCTCCCAGCGCCAGAGGCTAAAATGTATTCAAAAAGTAGTCAATAGTCTAAGAAAAAAAATCCACTCACTCTCGCCTGAGAAATTTCCCCCTCTGTCACAATTAACCCACAATTTCCACGTGTTTCTCGCTCTCTCTGGTATTTTTTTTAAAAGGATATTCAACCATCGCCTGGACGCCATTCTTCTTAAATATCACAATGCGCTGCACTTGACCGTATGGATGTGAAATGGTGTGAAGAACTTCCTGCAAAAGAGTAGAAAGAAAGAAAGCAATTAGTGACAAAACTCTTTCGTGTGCACAAAACACGCAAAGAATCAAATCCACCCCACGGGCCATTTCACTTGACTTTTTTCCCCACAATTGCATCGCCACAAAAATACATATAGATAGAGCAAAAAAAAGAGAAAAGAAAAGCGATTACGCTGAACGAATGAATCACATTCATTTGGTGGCGTTTAAAAAATTGAGAGCTCAATTGAGACAATTTTCCACCCGAAAAATTGTGTTTTTTCCTTCCCCTTCACTTCATCCCCTTATCCCCAAATCCAATTCGTAGAATTACTACGATTACACAGCTTTGATTGCTAAAGCATGACATTAGCACAAATTTTCACTGTTGTGACTGTTGATCGTGCCATTTCCTCTCGATATTTTCACGCCACACAAAATCCACCCCCTCTAACCACCCCCTCTCTCTCTCTTTTGCTCACGATAAGTCCGGCTAATTTGTCATATTTAAACCTGGAATACAACAAGAGGAAGGAGAGGAAGAAAAAACACCTTTTCAGCATGCAATGCTCAAATTAGAGCCAGATGCGCGACTTTTTCATGGTGTTTTAATTAACAAGTTACATATATATCGAAGACTATGTTAATTTTTGCCTCACCCATGAAGAAAAAAATACATGGTCTAAAAATAAAACCCGTAAATTACCATAAACATCAACAATCAGGTTGTCTATAAGAGATAATTTACTGGGTTTTCACTCATCTTCAATATCATATCGTGTCAGAGTCAGTCAAAAGTGTCACCAAAGTTTATGTATAATATTGTGAAGCTCATCTCTTGAAAGTTTGCCCAACAACAATAAACTTTGTCAATGAATCCTTGGGCAAATGTGACCAAGGATGAGTGGCAATTGAGATCATGAAAATTCATTTCTACAAATATTTAGGAAATAGTGTAAAATTTAACTCTATCGTGATTTTTTTTTTTAATCAAATTAATTCTGGTGTTAAATGCCTTAAACTGCTCTTCTTTGTTAATTTTCAATATCTCTTCAGTAATTTTATCTGCACTATCTTCTGCATCAGTAAATGCATGTTTTCCTGCTGGCAACATATAGCCACATATCGCCTTAACACTCTTTGAGTAAATAACTCCTAATAGGAAAATCAATATGGATTTGCAGCAATAAAAAGCCTGGGTGCGTACAGCTTTTCGCCCCAGGACTGAGCATCCTGTGGAAAACACGAGTGCGAAATAATATCCCTCTCTATATAAACCATTTTCCATGGAATTTAATTGAAGTGTAAACATGGCAGTAAAAAAGCTTCCACCAGGGATAAAAATATAGTGGAAGCTTTTCAAATGGATTGTCACACTCATCCACTAATTCGACATCATTCTCATTGTGTGTGTGTTGTGACAAATGCCAAGGGGGAAAATGCGTGTGAATGGTGTAAAACGATAACAGACGACAACTGCAAAAAGTGGAATTTTGTCATTTCTCTCACACTTTTCCACCCTCACACATTTTTTTTTTTTGGAGATTCCTCCACTCTTAAGCATCCTCCCTATCGTGGCAAATCACCCATAAATTATCCTCTTTAAGTGATTCCCACGAGAAAGTCACGCATTTTCCCATGTAAAGTGCACATACACACACACCCAGAAATTCTTTCAATCCCACAAATCCAGTTTAGAAGAATATATATTGATGGCAATTTTGAGAAATATTTCGCAATACACACACACACACATACACGTGATATTTGATTGATTTATCCGTGACACGAGAGCCACCAAGCAAATTTTCCATGTGGTGTTGTTCGCTCCAATTTCCCGCTCAAAACTTGAAAACATCACACAATATAGCATTGCATATGGTGTGAGAGACGCCGAGGATTTTCAGTGGTAAAAGGCAAAATTTCACAGATGAAACACTGACGGGGGCTATAAATAAAAAGTATTAAGTCATGAATTTCTGAGCTTCACACAGGCATCAAACCATGAGATTCTTTCCCAACTGACACGAAGCTCTGCGGATCAATTATATGTAGTTCTATAGTGAGAGAGAGAAGAGAGCAATATGTATAGATTAGACATTCGACAATACACTGTCACTCCTTTCATGTGAATATTTTCATCAATTCCTCCTCTTGAGAATGACGCCACACCATAATTTTTCTCTCTCCATCCATCCATCGTCACAGTGCGACTGTAGGATATGATGGTGTGCTATACCAAACAGCTGTAGCATCCATTCAATCACACGAAAATCCAGCCATGAGTGTTATTTTCAAATTATTTACTCTATTTATTATTTTCTCTTTGCCAAACAATTTCAAACCTCCGCGGAGGCATTCAAATACGCACACGAGTCAATTTAGCGCATCTGGAATTATTTGAGTGATAAATCAAAAAACACAGGAAAAATTCTCCAATTCTCTTCAAATATTTACACCATGAGAAACACACACACGAAAATGAAAAAATCCACCCTCGGGTCATTTTATTTGAAAATGACTCCATCACCATTTCACATTCAATCACATAAATTGCCAACCAATGCTGATAAATTACGCGTCGGTTTAATTTAATCACAATTCCGTGTAAATAAATTAGAAGATGTAATGAGATAATTCACTTTGTGAAAACCACTCCACATTACAGCCCCCCAACAGACATTTAGAGGACCATTTTGAACCCACTTCCAGATGCTAATTAAGATGAATTGGTCACTCTTTCCGCCCATAAATCACGGGAAAATTATCACACAATTTATACAATTGCATCGCTTTAGAACAACATTTTGATTACAACCTTCTTTAATGCTTCTGATCTTCCACAAATTATCTTTTTGACAACAAAATAACGCATTGCACGCTTCTGTCTGTACGACACAATTGCAGAAAGTGGTGAAAAATTTAAATACATTTCCTCAAGATTTTACGAGAAAGCCAGCGAGGAATTCAGTGCATTCAGGCCCGCCTTAGAGTTGTGCACATGGGAGTTGAGTGAAAAGAAGTGCGATAAAATAGCTTAGAGGAAGTGTCATGATGTATTTGAGTGTCACCTAATTAAAATCCCAAGAGAAAACACACAATTTTGACACATTAAAAGCAATAACACCCGTATAAATTGGGCAAAAAGGCATCAGAAAAGACAGATGTACTAAAAATAACATTTATGGATTCAGAGTTGCACATTCTCCTTGGAATTCTCTCTGTCTCTCTCATCTATGCCATTATTATAAGAATTTCTTCTTACACATATCCTCTTTCACATAATGATCCTTCTTTTTCTGCATATTACATTTCTCACATCTCTTCCTGATGGCGAGAAAAGCTCGAGAGTCACTTCTCATGCGCAAAAAAGACTCACCCCGCAAAGTTGACTGAGCAAATATTGATAGACGAAGGGAAAGAAAAGCATCTCAGAACGCGTCTGTATCACAGAAAATGATCTTTCTCTCTTTCTCTCTTGGAAGGACATCCTCTTAAATTCTCATCACAATTCCAGCCGAAATTGCAAAATTAAACAATGATTTATTTCCATTTTCTCCAACATTGCAAAATCCTCATTTTCTCGTGCTGGAATTTATTTGTTTTTCTTTTTTTCTTTATCAATCTCAAGATGATTTATGTCATTTTCCCTCGTAATTACGCCTCAGCGACAACCCAACACACAAACACACACAAACACAGGAAAGTGTTGGCGGAAATTAAGGGTGAAAATCGTAGTTTCCAACTTGGTGAAATCGCTTAATTACAAACCATGCACTTTTACGTCTTTCCTTTGCCAGAAGTCCATAAAAGTCTGTGTGGAAAATTGCTTGCCAGCAAAGACTTGAGTGTATTTCGAATTAAATTGTGTGAAAATCTTGCCAAATTCAAGGAAAACTTCATACCATGTTGAGAGAGAAATTTTCTCTCTTCTTCCCCATCAGTGTTTGTGGAATTCGATTTCACCACCCCAACTAGAAATGCCATCACATGAGAGAAAAGAAAGAAAATCTTATGTTATCTCATGTTTGCAGAATCTACTCTTGGTTGATCCGGATGGTCTTTCACAGTCATCTTCCTAGTCTTTTGCCACATTCACACTGTGAGAAAATGCTTGCCAAAAAGTGGTAAAATAATCATATCGATTCACAACATGTTGCAATAGGCCAAATGTGTTTGGTAAAAATCACCCAGAGAAAAGTGCAAAGAAAATCCCTCTTCTAAGTATGTTGAACAGTGTTGAATTGATGGTAAAAATCACATAATATGTTGACTCAGACTCCACATACCATTTTTGTCACCCCTAAAGAAACAGACACTTTCTCAAGTGACTCTAACACTTTTTTTTCTTCTTCTTCTCCGCTCCATTCTCTCAATCTTCCTTCCACCACTTCGCCATCATCTACATCACATACAGAAAGAATGAAAGTGAGGAGAAGCTCTTCTTCGACAATACATAATAAAAGTTGCAAGATTACATTTATTCTTCCAAGGGACATTGACAACTCCCACAAGAGGCAAGTCTAAAGTGGATGATATTCCACGATATGGGTAATGATGGGTCATTTGGGGAGGATTTTCCATTTGTGCAAACAAACACTTCGACACTCTAGTGACCCCCAAAAGGCACCTCTTCCTTCCTTTTCTGCGCGCATGTGTGTGTATGTGTAAAATGATGACACAATTTATTATCATGTCCCCATCATTTGCACAAGACTCCAAAGTGTCCATTGGGAGAAGAAATCATGCGAATTCTTCCCACCCTCGCAAGAAACACACACAAACACACTCACACACATGGTAGATAAACAATAAAAGAGAATTGCATGAAATAGAGAGAAAATAGTGGAAAACTGCCATTTTCATCTGTAAAACCATTTAATACAATTGATATTGAATATTTAAGCAATGGAGTGTGTCAGATGAAATGGATTCTTTTCAGTAGAAGCGGAAGATTCCTTCCTCTGAATGGTTTGGAATATTATATTTGCAAAAGCTGGGAAATTGCATAAAAG